CAGATGGGGCGCCGACAGCCTTGACCGGGGCGTGCGGATGTGGAGCCACCCCTTCCTGCTGGGGAAGGAGGGGCGGGAGGTGAGGGAAGGGCCCAGGAGGTCAAGGTTGGGCAGGGAGGGCAGGGGAAGGAAGAGCGGAGATGGGCCAAGGGGAGGAGGATGGAGGAGAGCTGGGGCGGCCGAGGAGCCGGCGCGAGGCCGGGAGGCAAGCTCGGCCCCCAGTTTGCCCCGCCCTGCACAGGTGGCTGTGTTTCTGGTGGACACCGGGGACGCCATGAGCCCTGAGCTGAGCCGAGAGACAAGGACCAAGCTGTGTGCCCTCATCATGATGCTGAGCTCCTACCAGGTGAGGCGCTGCCTCCTGGCCCCGGGGCGCCTCGCTGGGTCTGGCCCTCAGAGCCGGACGGTCACTCGGTCTCGCAGGCTTTTGTGTCCAGGGCCCGGCAGATTCTGGGGCTGTCCCTGCCAGGGAAGGATGCCCCCAGTTGGTGAAGGTGGGAGCATCGCTTGTTCTGAAGGAGGTTGAAGTCGCTGGGGGGCAGTTGAAGTTCAGGATCATCCCGCCTGCCTTCGTCCCGCAGGCTGTGCAGACCCTGAGCTGGCTCTCCCAGGTCCCGAGACCCACAGCCGGACCGTGAGCGCCCTCCTCACTGGGTCTTCCCAGTGTCTCTGCCCTCGCAGACCCTCTTCCCTTTGTTCTCCTTGTTCCAGATCCTCAACACTTCCCAGGAGCTGACGGACACAGACCTCGAATACCTGGAGGTGAGGAGTCATCTGGGGTTGGGGTGCCACCCGTCCCTGCCTGACCATAAGGCTAGCGGGCTGGACCAGCCGGAATCAGGTGCCTCCCAGTTCCGACCCAGCATCCCCTGACCTGCAGGTTTGGTGGGTTCGAGGCAGAGGATGAGCCCGAGACACCTGGTGGGAGGGAGGCTGGGAGTGTGCATCGTCCTGTGGGCCCCATGGGGGGGGGGGGCAGGCGGCCGCCCTGGAGTGGCCCAGCTGTGACCCTCATTGCCTCTAGATGTTTGTCCACGTGGCTGAGGTGATGGGCAGGCATTATGGGATGGTGCCCATCCAGGTGAGATACCCGTTTCTGGACTCGTCACTCAGACCCAGACACCCGCTGGCTGCTGGTGTCAGGAGCCCTTCTCTTCCAGCACCTGGATCTCCTAGTTCGTGACTCATTCCACCCCAACCAGGCAGGGCGGGGGCCTGAGGGGGATGCCCTCCGGGTGAGTGTGCGGAGGGCGGGCTGCGGGGGTGGCAGGCAGAGGCGAGGGTCCTGTAGGTCAGCGAGGAGGGGGGCTGGGCCCCAGCTCAGAGATCTCCTCCTCCGTCTCTCAGAAGCCTGGCAAATACCCCAGGGTCCGGGCGCTGCTGCGAGGGAGGCGAGCCCGCTACTGCCTGCTGCCTGCTCTGCGGCGACCATGGGCCGGCAGAGAGCACGGGAGCCCGGGCAGTAAGTGTCGCAGCAGCAAAGGCCCCCAGCTTGCCCTCCTCTAGTGACCGGACCCTCCTCCCACGTGCTGGTGTCTCCCAGCCTCGGACCCCCCTCCCCCCCAGCAGGT